GGGAACGTCATTTCAAAAGAAGTAAATTCTTCAAGAGGATCGTGTCAAAAGTTCTGAATATTTTATTTTATTGAAGAAAAAATATATTTATAAACAATCGAGAGAAAACAAAAATTGAGCCTTGTGAAATAAATTAAAGATTTATTCTTCCAAAGTTACATGAAGTCGAGATAGCTTCAAATTTACGAGGCACTTCAATGTTTTTTCCGATGAATCTATCATAATTGCTAACAAACGAATTAGGGAATGGAATTTCAGCTGGTTTAGATGCTTCATCCAGTCTTTTCACTTGTTCAGGCGTCAATCTGATAATATTAGAATTTTTTTTTTTAATTTACGTTAGTAAACAATTTTTTTTTTTTAAAAAAAAAAAACTTTCAAACAATTATACTCACTTGAATTCAAGTGATTTAAGATTTTCTTCGAGCTGAGTAACTGTTCTAGCACCAATTAAAGGAGAAGTAATTCCAGGTTTTTGTTGAACCCAGTTCATAGCGACCTATGTATTAGAAAAAAAAAATTAATATTCAATTGTTGAAAACAATTAAAAACTATAGTTTTAAGATTAAACACCACCTGAACAGGAGTTCTGCCAGTCTCTTTTGAAACAGTAATTACGTCATCTAAAATCTTCCAATTTTTTTCGACTTTTGAATGATCTGCTACTTTATGACTGCGATGTTCCGATTTTAAGTTAGCAGCTGATTCTCTCGTATGTTTTCCGGTAAGAAAACTATTATGAAAATAATTAATATTATGAGTATATTATAATATAAAAAAAAGCATCAATAATTAATAATTACCCTTCGGCAACGGCACCCCACGGAATAATTCCAACCTAAAAGTTTTTAAATATATATAGATTTAGTAACTTTAGTAACCGTACATAATTCAAATAGAGTATAATTTTATAATACATACATCAAGTTCAGCACAAGCAGGTTGTAAATCAAATTCTAATGATCGATCCAATAAACTATACCGCGTTTGAAGTCCAATGAAAGAACTAAACACGTTTGATGAAAATGTATTAACTTGAAGCCCATCTTTAATATCTACAAATCAAAATTATTGTACCTCCATCCACGTAATTCTGCAAATGTATTAGCGCGAGCGAGTGCCCAAGATGGAAAATTGCTTGCAGCAACGTATAATACCTATATATATATATATTTTTAATAATGATATTTAGAAAAATTATTTCGAGCAAACATTATAAAATAATAGTTTATTTACTTTTCCACTTCGAACGGCGTCATCTAATGATCTCATAATTTCTTCGATTGGAGTTCGAAACTCATAAATATGAACATATAAAATATCGACATAGCTCATGTTCAATCGTTTCAAACTCTCATTAAGATTCTCCACAAGACTTTTTCGATGATTTCCTCCTATGTATTTAACAGTTAAGTTACATTTATTATCAATCAACATAAAAAAATATTTAATTTTGTATTATGAATAGTCTACTAGCTCACCTAAATTCGGATTGAGTCTCACATCCTTTTGCATAGAAGTTGTATTACCTAAGAATTAAATCTAAAAAATTATTGAAAATTCAAATTTGAAACGAAATTATTTAGTTAATTCATGGTTCATACACGTATATTTTGTTGCAATCACAACATCGGATCGTTTATCGGAAACATAATCTCCAAGGAAACGTTCGCCCTAAATATTTTATTAATGGACATTAATATTTAGTTAACTAAAAAAAATTTTTTTTTTTTTATTACTTACTTCACCATCATTATAATTGCAGGCAGTATCTAAAGATTTGCGTATTATTAAATAGGAAATTTTCTATAACATTAAATCAAGTGATTGCATAACTGAAAAATTACCAAAAAAATTTCCGCCTCTTTCGTAATAAAGATCAAAAACTTTTTTCGATTCTTCTTTATTAGCGCCGATTCCCTATTTTGAAGTGTTAATATTCAGAAATTCAGAGATCTTTTTTTTTATCATCAATTCAAATTATATAAATAACTTACCCATTGTTCTCCAAAAGTCTTCAATGTATAGAATATGTTAACAATATATGTTTTGTCAAAGATATTTATTTAGCTTACAAAAATGATCTTACCGCAGTACCAAGACATAATGGAGAAACTCTCAATCCACTACGCCCCAATAAGACATAATCATCGAGAGCTTTAGCGGTTTTAGTAGACGAAGTATCTTGATATTCTCAAAAATAAATATTCTTAAAATTTCTTGTGATTTATATTTATATATAAATGTTTGCTTGTTTCTTTTTTTATAAATTAAATTAATTGTGATGGCTCTTTGATTTTCTGGATAATTCTTTGCCCGAGTTAGCTTAAAAAAATATGAGCAAAGTAACCAAAATGATAAATTTATAGAAATAAAAATGTGACATAATACTGCCCTTAGTATTGGTTTTTGATGACGTTGGAATTTCTCATTGGCTTGAGACTTAAAAAAAAATGGTCTTTAGAAACTTTCATCGAAGGAATTCGAAAGTGGGTAAAGTGGGTTGAGATGGCTAATATGGTTAATATGGTTAATATGGGGAAACCCTTAATATGGTTTCACAGAAAAACATGATTGAAATCCAATCTAAACAAGTAAGGCTAACCACATTTACCATACTAGTAAATCACCAGACTTTCCTTTTTTTCATCTTTCGTTCTATCATGAAAAAATTTTTTAGACTTAAACCTATTTATAAACTCTCAAATATTTTATTGAATGTCTCTCAATAAACTTTTTATTATTTTTCAATTTTTCATCAAACTAACTGTAGCATTCGTCATAGAAATATTTTTTTTTATTTTCAGTGCGATTTCAGTTGGCAGCAGGTTTAAAACTTAATTTTCCCCGAGCTTGATTAAAGTAAATAGCCTTTGGAAGATTAAGTGAAGTTGCCCAGTAGACCCGAAACTACTTGTATCTCTATTTTATAATGTTGGAGTAATACTCGTGATTTAGGTGAAGTCGCTCAACAGTTTTCATATATATTTGGAACAAAATCCGTGTAGAAATTAGCGTATTAGCGTAGCAGTACTAATTTTTTAAAAATAACTAAGATATTTTTTGTAATTATATTAAAGGATATTTTAGGACACAGTATCTGGTATATTTAAATCAATCGCATATAAAAATTTTTAAATGTGAAAATCATCGCTGTAACTATATATCAATCTGATGTGACACCAATTTTTCTAAAATCAACCCTAGTCTGATGATCTCAAGCTATGTATATGTAATCTTATCGGATAATTTGACGGAATCCGTCAAATTATTCGCCGAAGCGCAGTCTTTTAAAATTCTTTTCAACATAAAAAAATTTTTTTATTATGAAAAAATTAGACTGGGTGAAAAGGATAATCCAGATATAGTAGTTCGTTCAATCCGACCAATTCGACCAATGCGCAGAAGATAAGTGACTTTTTTAGAAATTTTTTAAACGAGACTCCACGAATTCCTTTTAAACGTTTATTATATGTAAGTAAAAATCATTTGATTCGGATTCGGTCATAAGAATTTTAACACGCTATCAAAATCCTACATTTTTTCATGAATATATAAGTAGAAATGAATTTTAATTTTATACATGAAACAATTCTTTCGAAAAACTTAGTTCAAGGTACGATTTAAGGCCTTTCTATTTGTTAAGATTTTTTATTTTAGCTGCGCCTTATTAATTCTTAATCTTTGCGAAAATAAGTCATTATCACCAAGACTAATTGCAATCATTGAATAATTAAAAAAAAATTATATTTATATATAATTAAAATATTAAAATAAAAAATATATGATATTTATACGAAATTTTTTTTTCATTTCATTATTGTTTTTGATAGATGGGAATTAATTTTAATGTATTTTCCTAAAAAAAAGTAAATAATAAAAGTAAATAATAAAAGTAAATAATAATATTAAAATAAATTTTAATCAAATAAAATATTTACCATTATTTTCATAAGAATTAATATTTAATTCTTCAATATTTCTCTTAGTTCCAAGTACGTTTGATTTGTTACTTATATAAAAATTGTGAATTATTTGGATTTAAATTATAAATAACTTAACAAATATTTTTTTTATCTTTTAAATACCTTTCGATATCTATGTCAAATTCTAGCTCTTTTGAAATATAATCTATAAAAAAAAAAAGTAATTTAATTAATTTGATTTATTCATCGAAAAAAAAAGATGACTTTTATTTAAATAGTTTAGTACGTATTATTTAATGTAAAATTGGTAGATGAACATTTAGAAATGTAAGAACTTAAAGGTCTACTTGTATAAACAGCTTTTGGATGAGGTTTTTCACTAAACTTGGGACCAAGCTTCTTTGAGTCTATTAACATTATCCTTTTAAATTCAGCTTGATAAAATTGATAAATAACATTTCCTCCAAGATTCCATGAATAACAAATCTTCTCAATCTCATATATAGAGGGTCTTTTTTGGGATCAGGATCCCAACAACTTTTCATTAAATCAGCATAACATTCTGGTGTATCTTCTGTAATTTCAGGTCGTACACTATCAATAATATTAAAAATAAGAATATGATCATGTTCAACATTAGCAAAAGGCTTACAACCTGTTGTAAGTTCCCACATAATCATACCCAAACTATAAATATCAGATTCTTTAGAAAATGCAGACCCTTTAAATATTTCTGGTGCAATATAAGGTATCACACCATAAATTTCATTATCCGATGAGGTATCATTTGCAGGTCGTGATAATCCTAAATCTCCGATTTTACAATTTACGTAATATTTGCTTGGCAAATCTACCACATCTTGATGTATAAAATTTGCATTATGAATAGCCTCAAGTCTAAAGTAAAAATAATGAATTTAAATTTATTATCGTGAATTATTTATTAACCAATAAATTTAAATAATAAATACCCAATTAAAATATTAATTAAAATATGTATTTTCTGTTGCCAATTGATTTCTGCAAATTACTTTTGTAAATACTTATGTAAATCTCTTTCTGATGCATATTGTATAACTAATATATAATCATTCAATTTTGGATCTTTTGTAAAACCAAATGTTTTAATAACATTATATATAGATTTATAACAATGATGATTTGTTTTCAACTATAAATTTCGATTAGAATTAAAATATTTTTAATAAACATTAAGTGAATAAATGTAAATTATTAAAATATTTACCTCACTCATAAATAATTTTTAGCATATTGAGAGTTTTTAAATCTTTTTAAAATGACAAGCTTATCTCTATTTTTCGTATCATAATTCGTTAAATATTTGGAACCATCTATCAAAGTTGCTAGATATACAATACCAAATCCTCCTTCTGTTATTTTTTTTACATTTGTAAATTGAGAATATGATATATATTTCATTAAAAAACTTTACCACATAAAGAATAATCACAAATTTTGGATGGAACGAAATATTTATCNATCTCCGATTTTACAATTTACGTAATATTTGCTTGGCAAATCTACCACATCTTGATGTATAAAATTTGCATTATGAATAGCCTCAAGTCTAAAGTAAAAATAATGAATTTAAATTTATTATCGTGAATTATTTATTAACCAATAAATTTAAATAATAAATACCCAATTAAAATATTAATTAAAATATGTATTTTCTGTTGCCAATTGATTTCTGCAAATTACTTTTGTAAATACTTATGTAAATCTCTTTCTGATGCATATTGTATAACTAATATATAATCATTCAATTTTGGATCTTTTGTAAAACCAAATGTTTTAATAACATTATATATAGATTTATAACAATGATGATTTGTTTTCAACTATAAATTTCGATTAGAATTAAAATATTTTTAATAAACATTAAGTGAATAAATGTAAATTATTAAAATATTTACCTCACTCATAAATAATTTTTAGCATATTGAGAGTTTTTAAATCTTTTTAAAATGACAAGCTTATCTCTATTTTTCGTATCATAATTCGTTAAATATTTGGAACCATCTATCAAAGTTGCTAGATATACAATACCAAATCCTCCTTCTGTTATTTTTTTTACATTTGTAAATTGAGAATATGATATATATTTCATTAAAAAACTTTACCACATAAAGAATAATCACAAATTTTGGATGGAACGAAATATTTATCAATATTTTTTAAATCGTGAAATTGATATAATGACGATCATTAAAATCACAAATCAGAAAACCGCAATCATCCATAATAAAATGTCTATAAACTGTCAAAACATTATATTGAGTTTCGTTATAATACAAAAAAGACTCATTTTATTCAAATATGGTTTTCCGTAGTAGTTAATTATCATTAAAAACTAAAATATTATTTTTTCATTCTTTTTTTTTTTTGAGATCCATAATAAAAGTTCGTGATTTCAAAAAATTAATACATAGGACTTAATATAGTACTGTACTTATAAAATGAATTAAATGTTAATACATGTGATAAAAAGATTTCATATCCTTGTTTTATTAACTAATGGTTTATATCGTAATAATCTACTGATTTTACAAGAATCAAGGAAATAATGATTAACAAATTAAAGATTTTAAATTTTTTTGTTGATTGGATTTTCTCGCTTACAACTAAGGACCAGTTTAGAATTCTTTACTTGAATATTCATTAATGAGTTACTATCTACATTAATAACATTATTAATCATATCCATATTTATTTTTAATTTCAGCATACAGTACATAGATTAATTTTAAACGCTCTTTTTTTAAAAAAAAATTGATCACATGGCCGGTCATGTCGATCATTACATAATTAATACGAACCAAATTTTTTTTTGTTATCCAAACTAGAAGTTAAAAAAAAAATACACGTGATTTTATATTTTTTAACGTTAGATTAATAATTTGTCATTATCTTTTATCCTCTAATTTACTGGCGAGAAATATACTGTTAAAATCAAGTGATAAGCTAAATTTACGGGGTGGTTACTTGATGTCATACCAATATCCAATCCGAAATTTTCACAAAAAATATTTCTTTTTATTTTGTCATAATTTCAACATATTACACTAATATATAATTTTCTTTATTACATACGCCAATTTACTAGTGTGGATCTAATAAATAATGTCAAAGATTGCAGTTAATTATTGTACGAAGAGTAATATAATAACACTTTAATGATTTATAGACAAATTCATATGAGTTAGAAATAATAATACTTTTAAATATATCTAGAGCTTCTGGTCAGATAATTAATATATTTTTAACACAATCTATTATTAATGATGTCCAAATCTCAGATTATGAGAATCAATTGCATATAATCTACAATCTTTAACATTGATTGAGATTTACATATTTTACAGTACATTAATAAATTAAAATACAAATTCCATTTTTAAACTCAGGTCTTTATTTATTAATATTGTGAATAATTATTAATTATAAAATCATATGGATTAATAATATATAAATCAGAAAATTTTTTAACTATAATATTATGTAATTTAAATTCATTTACTTCGTTTTTTAAAGTAAATAATTCAAAATTTGAATCATTATTATCAAAAACCAAATATTTAACCCTTTCCTTCTTCATAATATATTTCTTTATATAAAATAAAACTTCATCACCTTCATCATACAACTTATAACTAATTACTAATTTCTTAATAAAAGTATTTTGTGAATTTTTTAAAAATATTTCCAGATCACTTGTATTAATACAGAGTCCTAAACATAAGTATTCTAATTTAGAAGGAAGAATCTGTCCTAAATTTTGTAATACACTTGAACTTAAATCACTTAAATCAGTATGATCATTAAAAAGGTCCACTTCAATATTAATATAATTAATACTATGTTGATTATTTTCAATTAATTGATATATATTATTATTATCAGGTGTACCCGTTTTAAAATATCTAATCTTTTTACAATATTTTATAATAAATTCAAGTAATCGTTGTTTTGATTCACTATATTCTCTTGTATCACTCCTTTTAAATTCAAGATTCTCTAACCAATTACTAATTTTCTGTACAAATAATTGTAATGATTCAACATGTAATATTTCATCCATAAACAAAGTTCTCAATTTAAAAGGTTTAATGACCTTAATAATTTGTTGAACAAAATCTGAATTTAAAGAATTACAATAAAAAATGTGTATAGATTCTAAAACATTCAATTGATCAAAAACCTCTTGTAAAATATTAATTATATTTTTAAAATCAATGAAATAAAATATAATTGTATTTAAAGTATTTGAACAATTAGAATTTTTTAATGCTAAAAATTGGTTATATATCATATTATATTCAAATGAAATTTTTTTAAGATTATGTTGGGAAATTATTAATTGTGATAAATATTTTTCAACTAATGATGATCGATTATAAACACTTATATAATGAAAACTAAGAACAATCGTTGAGATTGAATTGCAATTAGTAAATAAAAATTTCAAAAATTGTGTAAAATTTTGACATGAAATATCTAATTTTAATTTTAATTTTCGGATATTGTATGTAAAATTCAGATTTTGTAATATCAAGTCCGTAATATTATTAAAATATTCAAGGTTTGACATTACTTCAAAAGAATCTAAAATTCCTTCATTTTCAATAAAAACTTTCAATAATAACCCATAAATTAAGTTTACTAGTTCATAATCATGGTTTTTATCCACTAAAGTATTAAAAATCCAACTCTTAATATTAAAAACAACTTCTCGTGTATTTAAATATTTAATAAAACTAGGATAATTAAATAATGTACTTGATGGAGATAAATTATAATTAAATCCATATTCATTTAATTTTATTTTGTCATCTTCATTTAATTTATTTAAGTAAATTTTAATGAAGTGGTAATTTTTGGAATAACTTATTGGAAATGGATTTTCCCATAATAATGGAATTGCTAAGCGACACCATAATCTATTAACTAAAATACATGAATATAATGTTGAAAAATCTTTTCTAAAATATTGTATAATTTCATTTGTTAATTCGGGCAATTCTCCTGAAAATATTTTTGAGCATGCCATGTTGAAAAAGGAGATTGGACTTTCATTCATTTCAAAATGAAATAAATTTATAAATTTTCGGAGTTATACAATTTTCCAAAAATAACGTAAATCATTCCTTTTTTTAAGCCATCCATTCCTATATTATCTACTATTAAATTATTACCGTGGCGCAGTACAAAATTAACACATGCTTGGAACAGCAAATTTGGAAGTTTTGGATTCCTGTCGGCACCAATCATTTCTTTTTGTGATGGCGTTATTGATCAGCAGTCTCCACGAATTGATAGCACAACAGCAGGTTTTTTTCAGCCATCAAGTCACGAGACCTGGATTAGAACTAGATAAAATGAAGCCATGTGTCGATCATCATATCCTACTGGCGGGATCTAACCATGGAGTGGTTACGGGAAGTTCAGATACTAATTGTAGTTCGCATGACTTGTTAATTTTTATTTTTGAAAAGTAGCACTAGTTGTAGATAATTTTTTTTTTTTTTAGTTTTATATTTTATGTATATGTTGATGACTTAGTCTGGTGTACTATTTATTGTAGATAAATTGGTTAGTTATAGGGTTATCATTAATTTAGTTAACTTTTGCCTCTATGCATTTTATAAAATTATGTATTGCTCTTCGTATATCATGATAATAAATAAAATGTGCTGCTAATTACATAAACTATTAAATTATTAGGCTAAAATGTTACACTTTATATTGTATATATTTAATAATTGAAATTTAAAGTCTTTTGTTAATCTTTTTTTGTTAAATACTAAACCATTTTTGTGCAATATTTGTCATATATTATATTAATAATGGTGTAGTTAGCCGAAAAATTCAGCCGAAGGCGCAGTAAATTTCGGCTAACAACACCCAGCCGAAAAAAATTCATGTTGATTTTAAATATTTTATTGGTTCAACATCTACTATTTTCGGCTGAATATTTTCGGCTAACTACACTATTATTTAAAAAAAAGTGTATTTAGCCGAAAATATTCAGCCGAAAATAGTTTCATGAATTTTTTTCGGCTGGGTGTTATTAGCCAAAAATTTACTGCGCCTTCGGCTGAATTTTTCGGCTAACTACACCATTTATTAATAAAAAATAATAGCAATAATAATAAAGTAAATATAAATACAATGTTGATGTCATTCTTGATCAAAACTTTAATACTTGAAGATTTCATATTCATTATATCATCATTATTTCGAAAGTTTTTTGAATCGGGAAGATTAATATATAGCATCAATATATTAGTACATATTAGTACGTTTTATAAAAGATTATTATCATTAATATAATGATATTTCGCCAAAATGTTTAACATATTAGGATTAAGAATTTGAGAAAACTGAAAGTATGATTCAAGCAATTTTAAAATGTGCAATGTCTACTCCTGTCAGGACTTAGAATCGTAAATATTACCTATTATTTTGCCTGATCTTAATATTTGAAAATAACTGATACATTATCTGGAGTTATTAACTATCTACTAAAATAAAATAATAAACCATTAACATGTTTTCCAGTTAGGAATTTTTATCTTAAATAAACATAATAAGTCTGATTGAATATTAATAATTCGTTATCTGTTATAGCAAAAACACTTTTAAATCAAAAATTTTAATAGTAAGAGTAAAGTGAGTAAAGTGATTGTAAACTTATTTCAATTTAATACAATCACATGATGCCAAACTTTAATAACAATAGAATTTTAATCATACAATAATAAAAACAAAAAGATAATACAAATGTTGTGTACTGTAAAAGAATATAACTTTAAATAAATAAACCCAAAAGATGAAAAACTAACTAATTTAATAAACTAAATAATATTCTTTGATTTGCCTGTAATATAAGAGATAAAATGAGTTAACTTTTAACTTTTAAAATTATTTCTTAAAAAAAAATTGAAATATATACGTACCATCATTATCTTCAATAGTCAATTGAGAAATATCAATTTGTAAAGATTCTATTTAATGAGATAAGATATATTAGTATTTTTACATTTAATTCATACAAAATTATTACAGTATTTACCTGAAAATTTTTCACTAATTATATTGTCATTTTGTTCATCATAATAATCATCTGAATTTTTTGGTTCTGGAAGATTATTAAAATTAAGTAGTCTACTTGTATAAACAGCTTCAGAATGTGTCTTGTATGATAAACTAGTTGATGGTACACTGCTAGTTGGTAAACTATTATTGATTTCTTCTGCTTCTTTTATTTGTTTTTTTATTTCTGATCGATTGTCATAAGTCCCATAAGTCCATTGATATAGAACACTTTGAACTTCATTTGCCATAGGCCGATTTAATGGATTTGCATCCAAGCATCTTTTGATTAAATTCACAATCAATTGAGGTACTTTAATATTAATAAATCTTGGTCTAAGTCCTTGACAAATTTTTATTGCTAAATTATTGTCATGGCTTACATCATGATATGGGGGAAGTCCAGAAATTACTTCATACATAATTATACCAAAACTATAAAGATCAGCAGCTTTAGTATAATTTTGCCCTCTTAAAACTTCGGGAGCAATATAAGGTAAAATACCGTATATACTGTTTTTTGTATTTTCCGATGCATTATAATCTGCAGGTTTACATAATCCCATATCAGTTATAATGGAATGATATTTGAAATGCAGTATATTTCCAATATGTAAATCTCGATGAATTAATTCTTTTTCATGAGTACTCTTAAGTCCGAGTGAAATTTGGTATAAATTTATTAGCTTAGTATTCCAAGTTAATTCATAATGATTTTTATCCAAATAAGTTCTTAAACTGCCATTTTCTGCATATCTCAAAACCATCATGTAATTTTTTGTTTCTGGGTCTTGTGTAATTCCATAAACTCTAACAACCGAAATTATTCCATCTCCAATAGTTTTACAATGCATTGTTATCTAAATATACATTTAAAAAATCCGTTAGTAAAAATCGTATTTAAAAATTTCATTAAATTAAGAAACTAGGCAATACCTCATTGATAAATTTTAATGTAACATTTTCTGAATTATTTAAACTTTTCAGAGCTACAAACTTATCTGGAGTATAGTGACATCGTTCCCAATTTTCATTTTTATTATCCCAATCATTAATATATCCATCAATCCATTTTACTCTATACACTTCTCCAAAACCACCTTTTGCAATATATTCAATATCATATAATTTATTGTAAGGTATCCACTCTAATACTTGATCATAAAAATTCGCTGATAGTTGATTATCTTGAATAAATTTGTCAATATCGTTATTTACCACTAGCCCAATTTTTAAAATTTCGTTGAAAACGTTTTATATTACATGCTTTACAGTATTCATTTCCAGTATTTTCCTGTTTACAATATTTACACAGCATAGTTCAATAGATAAATTTAGAAAACTTTATTAAATGGTTAATAAAAATGTGCAACTCAACAATAGCAGAAAAAGCTGAATGTTACCTTGAAAAACTTTTTTTCCGATTTACGTTCTCCCTATTTACACATACACGACATAAGTGTCGACAAAATAATTACTGCGTCAAATGTTAGACAAAAATGATATACAGTATTGAATTTATTTTTTCTTTATTGTAATTACTGTAAGCTTTAGATCCTAAATAAATCAATTCTACAAAAATACATTATGCATTTGAATGATATATGATAAAATACATAATTCTCGTAAATCTAATTTACGTACGCTTATTTTTAAAAAAAACACGCGCTTAAATTCAGTTTAATCATGTGATTGTTCACATCAGAATCTTGCTTTTCAAACACATCAATGTGATTACATAAGTGTGTAAATTGAAAATAACAACTTTTAGTAGAAATTTTCATTTTGTAACTTTTTAACTATTGTTTTAATACATAGTTTATTTATTAAAACTGAGCCTTCGTAATACACTAGACTTTTTTTATCTTCCATTATCATATGGCTCGATGGGCTCTATTAATTTTATAGAATCAAATTTGTGTGATCGGTAGTTTAACTAAATTTAATTACTCTTCATTCTTTTCTTCAAATTAAAAAGTCCAAGCAATTAATATTATCTCCTGTTTCAAATTAGTGTATCAGGTGACTTTTCGATCAATTATATACCAGAAAGCAACCAAAAACAAATTAAGTGCAAAACCAAATAATAATATAAATTTATCTCGCACATTAATTAAAAAAATAAATTTATTAAGGAAGAACAATAACTATATGAAAAATTAAAATTTTTTGTTAGATTATAATGAAATAAAATTATTCCTTTAAAAAAAAAAAACTTCCCTTATATTAAACATTTAGATATTTAGAGACAAGAATGTATGAACCATTAAGGAAGCTAAGTTAAAATTAATTATTGTAAAAAATTGCAAATTTACAAAAAAACTAAATAAGTCTTCTCGTCCTAATAAAAACAGACTCAAAAATAAACTTTTATAATCAAACTTACGGAGTTACGGTAGAACCGTTGGAATCGTTTGTAGGAACCTCAAACTTAGTATTACCTTTAAAGAAATCTTTCACATGAAAACCTAACTAAAAAATAAACTTTTAAATAAATTTGATTAATAAAAGTTAAGTTGTAAAGAAAATGACGTCGTGAAAACTAGTACGCACTTAAAATATCACACGCGTTCCATACAGATCTACATTGTTTATTATCAAATAAGGAAAGGCCTAGGACCGTTCTATTGTGTACACGTGTGTCACGTGACCTTTTTATATGTGATGTTTTACCACACACTACATGTCTCTGGCGGAGGTAAAACCGCCAATATACTCGTTACTATCATAACAAAGTTCTTCCTTATTTTAAACAACTAGTCAATATCGACGTGTCCGCTTGTATAAGATGGACGACTTGTAATTTTTTACATAGTGGTACTTGGGAGTCATATAGAGATAGTCTCTTGTTTAATTTAGATCAGTTTTCACCAGTTCAATCCTTTTTAGACTCACATAATCCACCTAGAACTTAGTCCTTTAGCCTGTTCTTTGGTTTTTTTCGGGATTGGTGTCGTTATTGGGACCCACCCTTGTTTCGTTTTATTTACCAGAGTGGCGCCGTCCTCGGGCGGTTTGATTATAGCTTAGTATTAGATAGCGT